GAACATATATATGTGACACTCAGAATGTGTTATGATAAATTGTTAGTCCATACACTGATGTAAGAAAAATCTTAAAAGGCATTTTGATCATCAGTGTTCAATGTGACATTAATTCTGTTGTATTTAATCAAATAAGTTATGATGAAAGATACACAACATACAGAATTGTTAAGCCTAATGTTCATCAAAGTAACAACCAGTAAATCCCCCTTACCTTGCTAAAACACAATGAGAGAATTCTAAGGTCACACAGACTTAGCCTGATAACCCTTAAGAGTTGTTTGCTGGTATCATGAACAGCAAAATGTTAAGTTGTACAAGGAGTGATATGATGGCTGATTCCAATATATGTATATCCTGTTTCCTACTTTAAGATCAGACCAATGGAATAAGACATCTAAAATCTGCAACCCACACTACTTCTCTGAGAAAGGAGGGGTAGGCTTGGAGTGTTACCAAAACATCAACAAACAAAATTCTAGAGGGCTTCAGGTAGGATTACAGAACACTTATGAACCACTCTCTGGTCCGGAACTTAATTCCAACTTTGGAAGTGTAAGAATACTATTTTAAGAAGAATTAATACCTTTCAAAATAAAGGAGGGAAAAGTTATTTCCTTCATGAACTGTTCAACAATCTTAAATAGCGTAATTTGCTGAGATCACTCCTACAGCACCAGGCAGCCAATTTTAAATGAGTAAAAAGTCAGCAACGTCTCAGAATGCTCTCTAGACACATGCTTTCCTACATAATCACCAACACAGGATCCAGCAGGAACCAAATGTGGTACTAAGGGAGCAGATACTAGACGCAGAAAAAAAGACAAGACTATGCCAACCGCATCAGTAACAGAATTTCAGAATTAATATTGATAAAACCTATAGAAAAATAATTATTCCACAACACTTATTTTTAAAAAGCTAGTAGCCAGTAACGCTCAGATATTTAACAATTAGGACACAAACAAAATGTGAAAAGAAAGCTGAGTCCAAGTACACATTACCTTATAAAACATCCTGTCACCAAAGCGTAACATCTCAGCAAAGGCATTGAGCCAGCAGTGCAAAAAGGCAAAAAAAATAAGGAGCTGTATCAGCACACCTAAACATAAGATGAATAATATTAACAGTCTTTCCAAACAGCTTACGTACCAATCGGTTAATTATGTCATCATTTGCTTAGCTGGAATTATTTTGTAAAATAAGAGTTATTATTCCAGCTTACCCATCCCAGAAATGATATGGTGTTTTTTGAAAGTTAATTCTCTTAATAAAGGAATAACTTCCTTCCAAGTGGGTTTTATAGATGACCAGTGACCCAGACTGCTTTTTAACAGAAATGCGTAGATGTATGGCTTAATTTGTAAAAGTCCCTTAAAATCTCGCCCCCATGCATTCCTCTATACCAGCCATTTAAAACGGGGGAAGATTTTGTCCCCAGGAGACAGCTGGCAATTCTGGACACATTTTTGGTTGTCATCATTCAAGGAGTGGGCGCGTGTTATGGTATGTAGTTGTCAGAAGCCAAGATGTAGCTAATATCCTACAATGCACAAGACAGCCTCCCAAAACAAAGAATTATCCAGCCCAAAATGTCGATGGTGACAAGGTTAACATCTCTGCCTCTACCCCCAGCGTTGTAAACATCTCCACAACTGGACTTCTGTCCTTCTGAAATACTCCAGGCCTTTGAATCCATCCCACTACCTGGAAGCAACTTTCCACCACCACTCTGCCAGGCAAACCTATCTGTTTCTCAATATCCCCTGTTAAATGTCAAGCCAATATGAGACAAAGTTCATCAGCACTTTAATATATATTACATTACATTGTACAATATCCATTTACATGCCCATCCCTTTCATTCACTTGTTTATTCAAAAAATATTTATAGAGTAGAGAGACTGTGACTGGCTGACTGGCTAGAAGACACAGTCCTTAATCTTACAGAATTTGTAGACTACTGAGGAAGACATACGTATGTAACACATACCCTATCACAGGGACAGAGAAAAGAATTTACTGGAGTAAATCTTGGGGGAACAAACCAAAGAGGATCACTAGAAGAAATCTGTGAGAGAAGGAAAGGAAGAGAGAACCTGATGACAGAAACAATACCAACATTTAATAGACAGACACAAGAGAACAAGTAAACTGTAAATACAATTAAACTGCAGGCTTCCAGAGAATAAAGAGTATGTATGTCTGGTTCAATGTCGTGTCCCCAGCACCTGGCATGTAACAGATAACCATATATCTCTAGAAAAAACAGTGGAATGAATGAAGACAGGAGACTGGGTATGGCCAGAAAGACAGAATAAGAGAGTGACTAGAGAGATTTCAAACTGGTCAACAGTACCCAACGTTTCATGGAGATCAAATAAAATAAGGGCTAAACCAACTGCTGGAGATTAGGGATTTTAATAAAGGTCATTTCAGTGACCTGGTAGAATCAGAAGCAAGATTACAGTGACTGTATAGTGAATGGGAAGATAAAGCAAAAATATGGACTATCCATAGTCAGAGAAAGCAAAACATGAGTGAAAGTCAGAAGGCAAATGGAAAGACTGGCCAGAGACTGGAAGTATGCTTCCTTTGTGAGACAAATGGAAAGAGGTCACAGGCGGTATAGACGTGTAGATGAGTTTACAGTGAAAAGCAGGTAAATCAAAGGTGCTCACACACAACAGCTTTCTGTTTCTGTGCAACTTTACTAATGGCCAAATGAACCAGTACCCACGTTACCTGGCAAGATGGAGTTAAATACACATAAGACCAGAACACGGGCGCTGAAGGGCTCCTCTTTGATATTCCGAAACAAGGGGCTGCAGAGCCTTTTGAAGATGTAGTACATGTAAAAAAGGCATCCCAAAAACTGAAACATGATAAAGACAATTATAATAATGATGGCTTGACAAGGAAAGATGAAGAGTGATTTCTCCCTTCAAAAGAAGATACATATGTGACCCCAAAAACTAATGTTTACACATATATATTCCATTTAACACTAGTCTGTAAGGTTGCCAAACTGGACTCCTTCAAAGATAGTACACAAGCCTCATTTCTACCACACCTATTCCCGACCCTTTACCAAATAGCATTTTTGAAAAATCAGACTCTGGAACCTACTTTTCCAGCCACATGAAACCCTTAACAAAAGAACCTATTTCATAAATAGGTATTTGATTAACACAAGATTTTTCAGTAGGAACTTCTGTGGTGTATGATCCCGTTAAGAGGTTAGGGAACTGTCAGACCATACCCCCACAGACATACATCCAAAAATGGAATAAAAAACAGAAAGGGAGGAGGAAATTAACCTAGATGCATAATGAAGTAACCAAATGGAATGACTTTAATTAAAACAAATTCTTTTATTGTAGAAAATTACTTTTGATGTTGGCAAAACAAATACCAGTTACTATACTGAGAATAGTTTACCAAGACTTCAGTAAGAGTTTTAGAGCTCCCACTAGACATGAATTTACCAACACTTTAAATATATTAAATTATTCTTTTTTTAAACATTTTTTATTGATTTATAGTCATTTTTTTTACAATGTTGTGTCACAAATTATTCTTACTATATTCAGATCCCCATTTCCCACCAACAAATCTTAGGCAGTTCAAAAAAAAAGATTTACCTGTGCAAACTGCATAGCCACATAACCCCATCTTACACTGGGAGTCCTAAAAAGGAAGAAACAAAGTAACTTTTCTAAATAAAGTAAATAAATGAACTTAAAAAAAATCCTCACAATATTTTCCCACACAGAACGTCTTTTTTGACATAGGAAATATCTGTATAATTCTGTCTCAAATTGCTGTAATCAAATCGGATTGCTGGAATCACCATTTGGGGTTTCCCGTGCCAGCAAGAAAGTTAAAACCCATTCGATGTGCTCTGCAGCCCTACAGGAAACGGCCCCCGTCTACCCACCCCGCCTCGCGCCCGCCGCATTCCTGGTGCTCCCCCGTTTCTACTGGCCAGTGCCGTTACCTGGGATAGTTGTCACGGTAGATGAGGGTAGGAGCAAACAAGAAATACAAGTACTGGTTGACAGTAGGTATTGGAACAGTGCCTGGAAAAGGAAAATTACACTTAGACTGGAGGCTCTTCAGTCCCTTTCAGCAAAACTGAAAGGGGAAAATAAGCACAGAATAGGGAGGACAAAAAACTAGCTCTCTTAGCTTGTGTTGCTTCTTCCTGATCTCCCCAAATGATGGCTTCTTATTCTTATATTAATCAAATGTTACCAATCCCTCTAAACTAACTCCTGTGACTTAGAGATAACTTCTAGAGTTTGAAGCAACAATCCTAGAAGCTGTAAGCACATGGGGTGTGACGAGTCTATTAACATTCTATAAACATTATGCAAAGTTGCAAGAGTCTAATGAGCAATGTTTTTAAACTGTGGGTACAAAGGTAAAACAGGAATAATCAGGAAATAGAGTCTTCTAAAATCAATACAAATCCTATATATAAATATATATAAATATTTTTCCCCTTCCAACAGGTTGGTTGTTTTTTTTTTCTCAAGTTCTATATATTTAAAATCAAACATAATGTTTACAGAAGGTAATATGCCATCCTAGCAAAAACACCAAAGGTTAAGATACCCTAATGAACAATCCTTTGACTTAATGGAATCACATACTTGAATTCTCCTTGGCTGAATTTAGTACCCGAGGCACATTCTCTCTGACAAATGAATAGGCCTTCATTATCAAACGAATCTACAAAGGAGGAGGGGGAAAGTGAATTTTCTATCACTGTCTTGTCTCCTACAAGCAACTGCAAAACAGCACTAGATTATAATTACATAAAGAACTTCCTAATTTTGTATACACCAACTCAAACCCACTTTTATGGAATAAAGCAAATGAAAAACAAATTCTATAAAGAACATGTTATTACGCGAATTATTTTGCAGCTAACAGCACCATCTATTACAGGTATATTACAAATTAAGAAATTAAAAGCCTGTTCAAAGAAAGTCATTCTTTCCATCAGTCCAACAGAGCATTACAGACAGCCAATGTAAGTTAGAAAATTCTGAAGGACATATAAACAAATCTTTTAGATGGTTCTATGATGGTTATATGACAAAACAATGAATCTGACACTTCAAAAGTGGAGTTTTTAATTACAAAAATACTTAGAATATAGACGGCTTCTACAAAAAGTATTCAAGAACAAAACCTGAATTCATCAAGAAAGGCTCAATATTACTTATTTCAATTACCAAGAACCAGAAAACACTGAAGCTAGAACAAACCTTTAAGCGATGAGATGATCTAGTCTAACACTAATTTTACAGATAATAGCACAAAGAACCAGATATGAAAATTTATCCAATATAACAAAAAATAACATCTTCTACTACCACCACCACCACCTCCTAGCTAACTAAGCATGGCACTGCACTGGGCAACACTCAAAATCTTACCTGTTCAAGTATAATAATGCACCGGGAAGCTGGTGGCAGTGTATATGCTAGCACAACATAAGGTGGTCCAAAACCTAACACTACAGTCTGGAAGACCACAAAAAGGAAGCAATATAAGAGAGAATAGACCACTGGATGAGAACTCCTGTGATACCCTCTGGCCCAGCGTTGAAACAGGAAATAGGGAACTGAAAGTGTACATAAGAACATGGTGCACCATGTCCATGTAACAACGGGAAATTTGCCAAAAGCGTAAGACATGAGATTGAAATCAAGCACCAGCCTGGGGAGAAAAAGCACACAGAAAAAACACAGAAATAAATTTTTAATATGCACTGATTGATCAAATTAAAAACTTTAAGACCCAAACCCCTCAACTTTAGGAAACCCCACAACACTAATACACTATGCTCCTAAGCCTCTGCTCTATAATTACCTATTTTCTAAGAGCCCTAAGATAATATGGTCCCTGAACACAAGACATCTAAAATAACCTAAAATAATAAGAGTTTGAACTTCTCAAAGATTAGATTCTCACATTAATACATTTTAAGCTCTAAACATTCTATGGCAAAGTTAATATTTAAAATATTCAAATAGCGATCACCGTTACGTAGAAAAGATGATTTTTCAGAAGAAAGTAGTACAATTCAAAAATCCAACAAATTATTATATCATTAGCTCAAATTTTAGTTTACTAATAAAGCACATAATTAAATGTATGATTATCTGTCATTTTATTTGATTTTTATATTAAAAAAATCCCATTTTTCAATGTTAAATTCTCATAAGCTACTTTTTCCAAGAAACAACCTAAAATGCATACCATGGTAGAAACTGGTAAGTCCTATACGCAAAATTCTCTCACTAAGGAAGCTGGAAACCATTAATATGGTGTATTAAAACAGACCATTTTAAAAATAAAACTAATAAACTTTTAACATTTTTCTTAGTTGTACTTTTCAGAAGAGAGAAATCTCACCCTCAAGTCACCTGCTCTGGGATTTTCTGAAGCAACTGTAACCAAATCATCTTTTACCAGAATTTAAATACAGTGAAAACTCCGAATATTCCATGCATCAACTAAGCAAACATCCTTTTTCTTGTCTTACCTTCCTTCATCAATGTAATCTACCACAAGTGTGCTGAGGATGAAGAGAATGAAGAGGGCAATGAACATGTGATATATTGTTCTGATATGGTCCACCTCAAACAGCTCACTGTAAATGTAGTTCAAATAAAAATTAATCAATATTTAATTTTCAAAACACCACGTATTAAAGACTTTAAAGCAGTACAGAAGATCCTTAATCCACTCTCCAAAAACATCTCAAACGGTAATCACAGAATATTACTAATGAATGTCAGTATTCTAATAAATGAATGCGTAAATAAATAAATGATCTACTCAGCATTTCCAAAGAAATATTCATTACCTACTCAAAATGCGCCTTTAATTTTCACTTCACAAATGAGCTTGCCACAATTAATTTATATTGCTTATTTCCCCCCATAAAATCCACACAATCGAGTCCTAAAATTAGCAAATCTGAGAAAACAATTTCGTCTCTAAGCCAGCTAGCCAGAGAAGAGATGAAAAAACTTTATCAAGAAGGCAGCAACACCAGAATTCTCTCAAAGTAGTTTACCTCATTAGAAAACTTTAGTTCTAGCTCTTTGGGTAACCAGTTCTCTGCAGCACAACTTCAAGGAATTTATCAGAAGACCAATAATCATTCTTATCTCTAACTCCTTTGAAACTAGATACAGAACCAGAAGACCAGAAAGAAGGAGCAAGAGATGGCAAATGCACAAAGAGAAATATCAAAACTAAGAATTATATGAATACAGAACAAGGTCATTTAACATTCATAGATTATGCAATGATTCTAACCGTCAGAACAGCTTGAGGGGGGAGGGCATAGCTCAGTGGCAGAGTGAATACCTAGCATGTACAAGGTCCTAGGTCCAATCCCCAGTACAGCCATTAAAAAAATAAATAAGCCTAACTACCTCCCCCCAACAAAAATTTTTTTTAAATTAAAAATAAGTAAAATTTTTAAGAATAGTTTGATTTTTTAAATTCAAACTAACAGTTAATGAAAGCAACCAAAAATACTCACTCTAAGAGAGATCGCCTGATAACAAAAATCTTTCCATGTTCTGGACGCGCTCTCTGATCTCTGGGAAGAATCAAGATGTGAAGACAAAATGTAAGTCAAGCATTACAAGAAATTTAAATCTATGGATAAGACAAGGAATATTACCAACTACAGCTTGTAATATAATTAATTGCCTTCTCACTATGCTCCAGGTCCTGTGTTAAGGGTTTTAAGCATGTTATCTCATCTACTCCTTCTGAACAATGCTGAGGTAGGATGAGCAGCATTCAAAGAGCCCCCATACAACAGTCCCCATGGAAATGCATTCCTGACATCACAGGCATCATGACAACCACTCTTTCTTCTCCTAAACATTCCTAAGGTCATAAACAAGCCTCCAACCATTCCTTTACTCCAGTTCACATAGTGTTACTGATCTAGCCTCCAAACTGCACTGACGTTTACAATGCCCTCCCCTGAGGGCTTCCAACAGTCCCCAAGAGCCTCCTATCTAAAGACTGCCTCCAGTTACTAAAATCTCACATTTTAACATCTAACATTATCAATTTCTTTATGGCTTTCTGCAGTACTACTAGCCCTTCTGCTGACTATTCTGGTCAAAACTGTCCTTCAGAACAGGAGAGATGCTCTGGATGACTGGCCAGTTAAAAAAAAACATAATACTAATTGCACTGTATTTTCTTGCAAGTATTGTATAGGGTACAACAGAGAGGCGGTTTAATGATACAGTGAAGAGCACACGCTCTGGAGCCAGACTGTGGGTTCAAATCCCCACAGTGTCATCTTGGGCAACATATAACTGCTCTGTGCTTCAGTCTCCTGACCTATAATATGTAGACAGCTATAGGGTCCGCCTCCCTGGGACATTGTTTAAATGTAAAGCACTTAACAAGTGTTGGCTGTTGTAAGTCAGCAAGGTCATAAATGTGGTATGCATTTGTTATAATCCACTTATTAAGATGAAAAATCCAATCTTCAAGTGTTTAAAATAATATGCCGAAGGCAACACACAGCTAATAAAATGTGGAGCTCAGGTGTGAATCCAGGCATTTTTAGTGCAGTCCACTTTCTGACCACAGATGCGTGCATTATAAGGAACTAACACTCATACTTACTTAGCTCTGTGGTGGTTCTCTCCAAGAACAGAAAAGGATGTCAGAGAACAACCTCCATTGTCTAATGACGTAGATTTTTCAATGAGATTGGTCACAAAATCATCAAAGTGATTGCCAACTTCCTTCATAAAAAATGGCTTCAATTCCTAGAATTTTCAAACAAATAAAGGAAAACATGAGGCGCTAACTAGCTTATGGAGTATTAACATTTTTCTAAAGGGGTCTCTTCAACAGAGTTGGACCAAAAGGAATCCATGTTAAGTGAGTTCACAGGAATAAAAACAGAAAAGTGATTTCTGTAACTGACCTGTAGTTTCAGAAATGGCTACTGAAAAAGCAGCATGATGAGTTATGTCTTTTAAAAAATTTAAACTCTTTTAAGCATAAATCAAAGTCATCACCTACAAAATGAACTCCTACAAATGATATACAAAAACAAAATAACAAAAATACTAAAAATGACAGCTCTATTTTTACCTCCTCAAATTTTTATCTGGAAAACGACAAAAAGTAAAAATCAATAATAGGTCAGCATTATATAACTTTAAGTATCCTTTCTTCTTAAGCAACCTCTTTAGCCCCAAGTACCCAATGTTTATATTTTAAATCATGCCATTTCTGTACAATACCAACATTTATACAATAATGTTTATTCCTACTTCCATAACTATATATTTACCTAGCCATAACATACATACTTTAATAACATAAAACTGTTATACAGTTTGGTCTCAGGCTATTTTTAACATCTTAAGACTTACATAATTTTTGAAAAGTATGAAGCAAAAAAGTACTTCTTCAAATGATAGTAGGCCACCTACTGTGGGTGCCTAACTCCTTTGAAACTAGATACAGAACCAGAAGACCAGAAAGAAGGAAATTGTAAATGGTATTTCTACATTGGCAAGATTCATCTATGCAAAGGAAAACAAAGTGTTACTTGCTACTTATTAGTTACTTACTAATTCTTCAAGAAAAAAAAATGCTCTTTCTTCTAATGAAATTATTCAAGTTGAACCTAAAAACAACACACAGTAGACTACCTAGGTGTCACCTGAGCAATAAAACCATCAATGAAAAGACTCAAAGAACACAGAAAAGTTCAGCAAACAAAGAAAGCAAGGATGAGACGATTGGAAATGTCTTTCTTGAGCTGAGAGTTGAGCTGAAACCTCGAAGGACCACCAAGCAGGACTTTAAGTAAAAAGCGCCAGGAGGAGACAATATGATGAAAAGCAGAGACAGGAAGCGATCAGCCAAAACAGAAAACGCAAAAGATGTAGGTCAGTTTTAAGGGCAAAATATAAAGGTTCTGTGGTCCCTAAAAGAATAAAGAGTTTTTATATTATTTGTACATATTAAAGCCATCTAACAGTTTGCCATTTTAGTTCCTTTCACTTGTTTCAATTATACATTGAGCTTCCTTTTGCAATTTCTCAACAGGCATGATGCTTCCCCAAACAAAAGCAAAACAACTTCCTCTCCTCCGGAAAAGGGTTCTTTTCTCATTGAGTTCTAGGGTTGGACTGCTTAACAAATAAAGGCTTCTTTCCAGCTACGAAAAATGTTCCATGTAGAAATGTCACCCGGAAAACTGGGTTCACCTCTTGGTGGGTATTGAGCCGTCACGCCAAAGAGCGGGAGAAAGAAGGATTTATGACTCACAGCAAGTAAGGAGAACACAGGGGGCCTTTCCCGAAGCCTTGTCTCCCAGAACAGCAAAACCAGGGAGGTTTAACCTAAGGGTACGTGCATATTCATGAAGGGGCTTGAGCAGAGGAGAATTCAGCATAGAATTGAGGCCACAGTCCATAGAGTCCACGCTTTCCTTGACTGAAGTTATGAGAGTCTGCACCGTCCTTCCATCCTCCACTTGGGTGGAGGCCTGGGTGGCCTTAGTTCTGCAGAACTCAAAGATGGGTATCGGATTGTTAAGTATATCCATTGAGGACTCTGTTTTATCCCTTAACTATTGCTTCTTGACTGCTTTTCCTTTGTTTCTGCATTCCCCCACTTCCCTTAAGATCTTTAATTACTGAGACTTGTTCAAGGGTAAGCCTTTTGGCCAGGCTTAGATCCCAAAATGGCTAAGGCCAAAAATGGCTTCTTAGAGAAGAAAGCCATGCCTGGTTCTCTTTCTCCCAGGACCCGGAACAGAGCAGGACTCTGCGGGGCCCTCCCTGGTACAAATCCTTTCTGTGTGCCCCATTACTTGTTTGTAGGAAATAGGCTTTATTTAGCCTCCCTGACTTTCCTTGACTTCCAGAGGGCAGATTCAAACAGTTGCTTATCAGCAAAGGGAGAGAATGCAGAAACAAGGGAGGAACAGACAAGAAATAATCCTGCAGCCTCGAGGCAGGGTCCTGGTTCCTCCTCAAGGGATATACCTAACGATATCTTTGAGTTCTTTTGCATGAACTAAGGCCCCACCCAGGTGAAGGATGGTGACTTCAGGCTGAGCCCAAGATTCCTGGAATAACCACCCTGTTACCTCACCACCAACTAATCCAAAGGAAGTCACACCCCCTGCAGCCCTCACCCCAGATGCTGCCTATTCAAAACTTCTCCCAAGAACCATCAGAGGTGGGGCTTTGTAAGCATGAGCCACCTGCTCTCGTTGCTTGTCCCTGCAATAGATCTATCTGTCTCTGCTCAAACTCCAACATTTTTGATTGTCTGGCCTCCCTGTGCATCAAGCACATGAACTTCTGTGCAGTGACAGACCCCCTACAGAAATATACTAAGAAGAAGAGAAGGGAAAGCATTCATTCCACTAAGTGCCAGGTACAGTTCTGGGCACTGCTGCTGTAGGTGCTGGAGACAACAAACAAAACCTAGCCCTGTCCCCATAGAATTTAAAACTTCAGTGGGGATAAACAGGATATACAGGGGGCCAGACAGTGTCATGGAAAGAAATAAAGCAAAGGAACCAGCAGGAAGTGGGGGTATTTTCATAGAGAGGTCATGGAAAGCCTCAAAGATAAAATGACATCTGCGAAGGTCTGAAGTTAGTCACTATCCCTGGAAAAAGTACCAGGAAGAAAGAAGCGTAGTGTAAAAGCCCTGTGGCAGGAACACCTGTGGCATATGTGAGAAACAGCACGGAATA